GCGTTGCCAAATTTCTTTCAGTAAATCACGAATTTTAGAGAAAATTTGTAAATCCCTCCAATTTATCAGCTAATTTTGTTCGCGAGTTCACGTAAAGTTCCCGCAAAATTTCAAGACAAAATATTCATAGCTTTCCTTAAAAATTAAAATTTCATGGAAGGAAATTTGGCAACTCTCGAATGTTCATACGGCGTTTTTCCTTAGCACGGCAGTATACCCGCGAGAGGAACGGTTTGGCTGGCCTTGGCCGGACGAGGGAGTCTTGCTGAAAGAACCATCAAGCCTCCAGGGGAGGGTTGCAGAGGTTTGAAGCCCAGGAAGGGGGTGGACTTTTTGGCAGTGTGGGCATAGTTGCCGCAGTTTCCAGGGTTATATTGGTAATGAAGGATCTAAAGTATCACTGCTGGAAATCTCTAGGGGTCAAAGTTGACTTGGTTTATCTCCGAAGAGCTCTGTGAGTGGCAAATCATGTCTTACAAGGTTAGGCTCCGCGGTGAGGGAAAAAAAAAGTGTTTTTTCCATCAAAGCTAACGATTGTTGCTTGATCAAGAGGAGTTACCTTAGGCTAATCATTACTTTTGCACCTCACAAAAATGTTTTATCAGTAAATTTTGAAGAAGTTGTTAATGATAATACATTTATGTTCGTACATGAGACTTTTTGTTACGTTAATTGAAGAGCCCATTGATTTCATCCAGTTGAAGAAAATAGAGATGCCGCACACTGTGGTATTGGACCTGAAAAGCTGGCCAAAACTATTTATCACCAGATATCACCGAGTTTTAAAAATATTTTACAATCAGTACTTCTTCTTAAGTGATAATATGCACAATTTAACCACCTAACACATCATATGACTATTTGCGGAGAGTTTAAAGAGGGTGCAAGAAGCCCTCCAAAAAGCCTTTAAAAGGACGCAAAGTATCTGACTAAAGCGGTGCATTTAGACGAGTTTCTCCTTCACCTAGGGTCTACTTTTCGAAATAAGGACTTTCTATTACCTCATTTATGGTTTTTTTTTTTTTTTAAACAGCGTAAGTCACTTCAATATGTTTGACAAAACAGCCGATCTCTCACACTGAGAAGTAATTGTACATTTCTCAAAAAGTTAATATGAATCATTCTAGATATTAGATTTTTGACAATTTAGAATCAAAATTAGTGCTAGTATGAAAGTGCCGGGACCTCCAAATGATGATTTTGAGGTTAAATTATAAGATGAACATGAGTTTTATCATAATGAGAACCATTGTAAGGGCAGGAAGCACCTGTGGAAATGATTAATTTTGATGGATTTCTTCCTAACCCATGGTCCACATCTCAAAGTGAGGGCTCTTCACTGCAAAATTCGTAACAAAACAACATATCTCACTTTTACGAGCCTTCAAATGTGCCTCTCAGCGTAATTTCATGGTGCCAGAGGGCCACACTTTTAAAGCCCCACCCCGCGGCAGCATGGACTCAAATTTGTCTGTAAAAGTAAAACATGGCATAAATATGTCTATACTCAAGGATAATGCACGAAGAGATTGTTAGATAACGGATTAAACACTTTTGCAAGACTTTAAAGTGACCCTCCCATCCGCTTTCAAATTATTTTTTTTATCCTTCTTTCGAGGGCGTAGGGGCCAGGGAAACAGGTTGCGTGACCAAATGTCACCCAATTTGATACTAAATGGGTCAGAGCTGTTGGAAAAATACAATTTCAGTCGTTAATATCGACATA